CGACGTAGCTGCATTTTCGGGTAATCAATAATGCCCCATTGTAGATTAGCGCCCAGAAACCAGACGCGGGACCTCTAAAAGGCAGAGAGAGGGGGGGAAGAGTCGGATAAATAGAGTAGCATTTGAAATGGTAACATCAGCATAACAAGTCAAGTAAACTGAAATTATTATTAAATGTAAAAACTTTCGCTGCACACTGTGCAAAAAAAAAAGAAAAGTTAAACAAAAAACTTTTCAGCGCTTTTTGCCGAAGCGGCCTGAAACAGAAATAATTGCATATTTCAAGGCGTTCGCTGGCAAAACAACTTTTGTGCTTATTATTTTTTACGGTCTCGGTCAACAATTTCAATGCTTGTTCACGGCAAAATGGCCAAAACCTTAGCCAGAGCTAAGAGCAGCAGACGTTGCCGGCAAACGAGCATCGCGCTCCTGCTTTAATGACCGCTAGATGGCGCCTATGCTGCAAACACTGTTAAATTTCATTTTGAAATACTAATGAAAAATACTAAAAAAAATACATTGGAATGAGGCTCAAAGAGAGCTGTTGCAGAAGTGGGATATTAAGAGGATATCATTTAAAATAATTAAATATATATTAAAAATATATATATATATATATGTATATAAGTAAGACCTAATAGTGCCAAGGGGCTTTATTATTGAGTTTTTTTTTTCATGTTTTACTACTTACATAAGACTGCACGAAGAAATTGGAATCATCACAGTTGGCCAAGCAATTGCAATTGATTTTGTATTTATCCGACTTTAGTGAGATTATCTCGCCTATAAAATAGAATGGAAAATGGTTAGAACTATAAGTGTTCTAAGCGAATGCACAACATATATAAGGCCGGTCACGTAAATGCTAAAATATTTCTTGATGAAATTTCTGCCATCGATTCGAAATGAAGCCAAATATTTGCATGTGCGATGAGGATTATCAAAAAATGCTCACGTTTAATTTTGACCAAGCAGCCGATGCCCTCCAAACCGCATATTGGCAAACGGCGGCCATTGCGCACTGAAAGAGACAGAATGAGTGTGTGAGAGAGAGAGAGCGAGACGGCAGTCTGTCGTGAAACTTCAAGTGGAACTATTTAAACATTTTATGAGAAAAATGCAGAGCGACAACAACGATAACGACGTCAACGTTGACACATAAAAGTTAAACTTAATGGGACCAATTAAGTGCAACTATGTGAACGAGAACGTGAACAGGAAGAGGAACAGGAACGGGAACAGGAACGGGAACAGGAACGGGAACGGGAAGAGGAATGATGATAAATATGAGCGTGATGACAAACTCAAAATTATAATTACACCAAAAAATTAACAATTGAATAAAATGTTGCGTGTTTGGTAGGAAAGGCGCGACTAGAAAATACCCTAAGCTAGTTTT